ATGGAGGTGGTGGTGGGAGATGTGGATGGAGGTGGTGGGAAATGTGGATGGAGGTGGTGGGAGATGTGGATGGAGGTGGTGGGAGATGTGGATGGAGGTGGTGGGAGATGTGGATGGAGGTGGTGGGAGATGTGGATGGAGGTGGTGGGAGATGGAGGTGGTGGGAGATGTGGATGGAGGTGGTGGGAGATGTGGATGGAGGTGGTGGTGGGAGATGTGGATGGAGGTGGTGGGAGATGTGGATGGAGGTGGTGGGAGATGTGGATGGAGGTGGTGGGAGATGTGGATGGAGGTGGTGGGAGATGTGGATGGAGGTGGTGGGAGATGTGGATGGAGGTGGTGGGAGATGTGGATGGAGGTGGTGGTGGGAGATGTGGAGGTGGTGGGAGATGGAGGTGGTGGGAGATGTGGAAGGTGGCAGTCGGGGATGTGATATTTTCAGGTAACCAACGGATGTGTGTGCGAGTATCTATTTGGCTTCCCATACGGGATGAAGAGGAGCAAGTCGAAGTCCGCGCTACGAACCCTGCGACCCGCTCACTGCCAATATCAGTGACGATTATCTGAACCGGTCCTGGGCCTCCCCCTAGGTCTACTCAACCTCAAACGAGTAACCGGTGCGATGTGTAAACATCGCCGCTATGGAGGCAAAGGCGGCCTGCCGTGGTGCTGCCCAACCACACCGGCCTTTACAGATGCTGGCAAACAGAACTTTCCCCAACAGTGTGTTAAGGCTAAACGTGTGTGGCGGAGAGCGTCAGTGCAGTGGTTCGTGTACCGCCTTACGAACCCGCGCACGACCAATAAAGCTCAAGAACGAAGGTCTTGAACCTTGGCTAAAAAACGAGTTTTCCCTCGTCGATTCCGCGGCCCCACTGGTTGTTATTCGTCAACAGCCTCTGACCCAGCTCTCATGAGGACTGAGTCACCTTCCACGGGGATTGATGGGTGGGTGTGGTAGACCGGTGGATGGTGGCATTAACGGGATTTTTTTTTCCCCATCGTCCATACTGCCATCCGCTGGTAGTCATTGATAACTCTACCCCGCCCCCACCCCCAGAGCTACAAAGCTGGTCACGTGGAAGACAGCGGCGTCCCGCAACAGTACACGAGGAGACTCCCACGATGGAACGTGTGGAGGCTCTCTGGCCCCAGGATTTCACCGCCGCTCCAGTAAAATTAGCCCGCCCTTAAAGACCCTCACGGGGAACTTCCTTTGGCCAGGTCATAGCAACGTCTGATACAATCGCCCTCAAGGCCACCTTGCCCCCGACGGCAATCCCAAGCAGAATGAATGACCGCGAGCGCCCTTCGCCAGGCCACCGTTCTCCCAAGACGAAACTTCCAATGCTCCACCGCTACGCATCCAACGGAGGAGTTGGAGAGCTCCCTCCGTCCGACACGAGCGGTGCTCAGGCACGTCTGCGGATGTCAGCTCTTCCAGCAGACGAAAGGGTGAGATGCCACCTTGGGCAAGAATTGAGGCAAAATCGGGAGGCCAAACCCTCGCCGGCCTAGTCACGCGCAACGATTGCCCGAAATTCGCCCGGTGTGCCCTCGCCGAGTTGAATGTCACCAGGAACAAGGTCCGCTTCCGTAAATGTTCCAATGCGTAAAATAGTGCGCCACCCCCCTGTTCAGCAGCGCATCCGGAACAAATGGCAGGTCTCGAGGAGGTGGGGGGGGGCCTGTCCTGGGTACTGTCCTGAGCGAGAAGCCTCTTGGGCACGAGTGCCGACTCCACGGGAACGGTGTTGGAGGGAAGCCGAGATCGCGGCGAGGCGAACACTCAGACGAAGGCCGTCAAGTGGTCCTCGCCCAACTACCAACTTGGGGGGTGGCTCGCGATTGCCGCTAGGCCGCAGGGCGGAGCGGATTATTGCCCAAGAGGGCCGAGGTGCACCCTAACAGCCCGTTCGCTACCCTCGCTGCAGCATGGACACAGGGGGACCGATGGGGAAGGTTCCTGGACGCCTGCTCTCCCGGGAACGCTTCATGCTGTTAGACTGCCACCGAGGATGGAAAGGCTCACCTAGCTTTGCCCAGTACCCATCTTAATATTTGTGCCGGGGGACTCGGTGCAGTGGCAGAGATGAGTTTGCTTAAAGGTGCATCCCAGGTGAAGAAAACTTCTGGCTTGCTTCAGTTGGGAGGGGATTGCCCCTGCTGTTCTGGGAGCTCCACTTTCCACCAAAACCTTCTCCATTCGAGAGGAAAGAATATCCTTTGAAAGAGCTCCCCCACCCCCCCTCTCCTCTCACCCTCTCGTCATCACGAGTCCTGCTTTGAGCCCAGGGTCTTTGCTGCTGACAAAGGGAAGTTGTCTCATCTCTTGAAAACCCTCCGCCTCACCCCTCCATCATGGCGTCCTCCACGGCAGACGGGCGCGTGCACCGTGGAGGTGTCCCGGTTGTTTTCGCACCCGTCACAAACGCCGACCTTTGTCTTCCAAGGCCGACGCTTCAACAGCCGTGCCACGGAGAGTGACTCCTGCCTCTGAGCAGCAACGGCATGGGGCATGAAGCCGGCACCGTCGAATCACGGCCCACCCAACCCCCGTCTCCGCTAAAAGGGGCGCTCTCGTGAGGCCGAAGGGTCGCCCCCCTCAGTGCCGGAGACTTTCACACCCGTAGGGGTTTGGCCGAGGGAAGATCGGTCGCAGCGGTGCCACCGCCACCGCCGTTGTCTCCGCCCACGAGGTGAAGGCGACGTGGGGCAAGCGACAAGCAACCTCTGCTCCCTCACTCCCTCAACTCCCTCCCCCTGCTCCCTCCCTCCCTCTTCTCCCTCCCTCCCACGTCTCCCTCCGTCCCTCCCTCTCCTCCCTATTGCCACCAGAGAGAGAGCAGCCAACATCACTGCAATCGGACGGAGGTTGCACACATCCCAAGCGTGCCGAGCCGCGTCTGCGAGTCAAGGAAGACCACACTTACCACCGCACTGGCAACGCCAGAGCCAATGCAGGGGAAGTGGGCGCTTCGGTAACAGCACCCGCCAAAAATCAATCCACGAGAGAGTTTTTTTTTTGGGTTCACGAAAGCCTTCGTGTTAAAACTAAAATCAGTCCGTTAAAAGGATACACGGGGTGGGGTGGGGTGGGGGCGGGGGTGGGGGATCTTGGTCTTTGTACGCATCTGTACGTGCGTGCGTTTGTGCGCGCGTATCTCTGCAAAAGCGTGTGACAGCGCCGTGCAGTGTGCCGTGCGCGTGCGAGCTCACAGCCTGCGGGTGACCCGCATGGGGACTCCACGCGGAGCCATTCTGCTCGGGCGCTGGGGTCACGCTCCCCACCACCCCCCCACCACCACCCCCCCACCACCACCCCCCACCCCGCCCGCTCGCGTCCCCACCACAGTGGCCCTGGCGGAGGCGGCGGCGGCCGCCCCCCCGGTGAGCGTTTGTCGCCCCCGACATCTCATCGTCGTCGCCGCCGCCGCGTCCACGCACGGCACCGTGACAGAAGCTCCCGTCGATTCGCACGCACTCTCGGCCTCGTCATCACCGCACGTGGGGGGGGGGGGGGGGGAGGGTGATGACCCCGGCAGAAGCAGCACCTGCCTCCTGGTCCGCACGGGGTCTGGCGGGGCCCGGAGCGAGGGGGCCTGGTGGACCCGTGGCGGATGAATGAACAAATGATTGAAAATCAATGGACGGACGGACGAACTGCAAGTGCACGTCAAATGGGTGATCCGATGGACCCGTTGATTCCTCCACCCGACGAAACCGCGTTCAACCACCACCACACTGCACGTCACAGCAACACACTCGCTCACCCGAACACTGTATGTCAACAACAACACACTCACTCACCCTAATACTGCATGTCAACAACAACACACTCGCTCACTCACACTCACTCACCCTAACACTGCAGGTCAACTACACCCACACTCATCCTAACACTGCTTGTCAGCAACAACACACTCGCTCACTCACTCACCCTAACACTGCAGGTCAACAACAACAACACACTCGCTCACCCGAATACTGCATGTCAACAACAACTACACACTCGCTCACCCACACTCACTCACCCTAACACTGCAGGTCAATAACAACACACTCGCTCTCTCACACACATTCTCGCCCAAACATTCACCGACTGGCTCACACACTCCCTCCCTCAATCAACCACCAATCACTCAACTACACACTCACTCACTCACCAACAGCCACCATTCGCCACCAGGTCACAGTGACGTCACCACGGCACTCGTGCCAGGCTAGGTGCACTTTGAGGCCACGTGAAGTGTCCACAACTAGTCGTTCACGGGCTATACCCAGGTGCCATGAGCTGAAATGACTGGCAGATGCACCACCTGTGCCCCCTTAATGTACCAACTTCCTGCGTTTCAGCCGGCCCGGGCTCCGCTCGTTGTTGTGAGCGTTGCTCCTCTACCCTCCGCTGCCGTTGGAGGGCGACTGCCTCCAACTGCCCAGTAGCGTCCTTCACGAGCCTCCTCCACAGAGGCCGATCTTGACACCGCTGGTACCAGTCATCGGCAAGTCCACTCAGCTCCACGTCCTCCTGTACCACATCACTCCATCTCTTCTCTAGCCCGTGCTGTGCCCGATAAACCCCCTCTATTCGGCCAAACAGAAGCTGCTTTCGGCTTGATGGGGCGATGGGTGGCAACGTTGTGCGTGACGAGGTGGTGACGAGGTGGTGACGAGGTGGGGAGCTGCGTGACGAGGTGGTGCGTGACGAGGTGGTGACGAGGTGGTGTGTGACGAGGTGGTGACGAGGTGGTGCGTGACGAGGTGGTGACGAGGTGGTGCGTGGCGAGGTGGTGACGAGGTGGTGCGTGGCGAGGTGGTGACGAGGTGGTGCGTGGCGAGGTGGTGCGTGACGAGGTGGTGACAAGGTGGTGTGTGACGAGGTGGTGCGTGACGAGGTGGTGACGAGGTGGTGCGTGGCGAGGTGGTGACGAGGTGGTGACGAGGTGGTGACGAGGTGGTGCGTGATGAGGTGGTGCGTGACGAGATGGTGCAACGCTGACCGTGACATCCTCGGCCTTGACTCCGTCCAGCAGGCAGCGCAGCAGCTCCTGGCTGTCCTGCTGCTGGAAGCCCTTGAAGCGCGGGCACCTGAGAGGCAGACACCCAGCACGTGACAGAGACACCCAGCACGTTATAGAGACACCCAGCACGTTACAGAGACACCCAGCACGTTACAGAGACACCCAGCACGTTACAGAGACACCCAGCACGTTACGGAGACACCCAGCACGTTACGGAGACACCCAGCACGTTACAAAGACACCCAGCACGTTACAGAGACACCCAGCATGTTACAGAGACACCCAGCACGTTACAAAGACACCCAGCACGTTACAGATTCACCCAGCACGTTACAGAGACACCTAGCACGTTACAGAGACACCCAGCACGTTACAGAGACACCCAGCACGTTACAGAGACACCCAGCACGTTACAGAGACACCCAGCACGTGACAGAGACACCCAGCACGTTATAGAGACACCCAGCACGTTACAGAGACACCCAGCACGTTACAGAGACACCCAGCACGTTACAGACACCCAGCACTGTGTAGAGACACCCAGCACGTTACAGACACACCCAGCACGTTACAGAGACACCCAGCACGTCAGAGACACCCAGCACGTCACAGAGACACCCAGCACGTTACAGAGACACCCAGCACGTCACAGAGACACCCAGCACTGTGCAGAGACACCCAGCACGTTACAGAGACACCCAGCACGGTACAGAGACACCCAGCACGTTACAGAGACACCCAGCACGTCAGAGACACCCAGCACGTCACAGAGACACCCAGCATGTTACAGAGACACCCAGCATGGTGCAGAGACACCCAACACGTTACAGAGACACCCAGCACGTTACAGAGACACCCAGCACGTCACAGAGACACCCAGCACTGTGCAGAGACACCCAGCACGTCACAAAGACACCCAGCACTGTGCAGAGACACCCAGCACGTTACAGAGACACCCAGCACGGTACAGAGACACCCAGCACGTTACAGAGACACCCAGCACGTCAGAGACACCCAGCACGTCACAGAGACACCCAGCATGTTACAGAGACACCCAGCATGGTGCAGAGACACCCAGCACGTTACAGAGACACCCAGCACTGTGCAGAGACGCCCAGCACGTCACAAAGACACCCAGCACGTTACAGAGACACCCAGCACGTTACAGAGACACCCAGCACGTCACAGAGACACCCAGCACTGTGCAGAGACACCCAGCACGTCACAAAGACACCCAGCACGTCACAGAGACACCCAGCACGTTACAGAGACACCCAGCATGTTACAGACACCCAGCACGTGACAGAGACACCCAGCACTGTGCAGAGACACCCAGCACGTTACAGAGACACCCAGCACGTTACAGAGACACCCAGCACGTTACAGAGACACCCAGCACGTCACAGAGACACCCAGCACTGTGCAGAGACACCCAGCACGTCACAAAGACACCCAGCACGTCACAGAGACACCCAGCACGTTACAGAGACACCCAGCATGTTACAGACACCCAGCACGTGACAGAGACACCCAGCACTGTGCAGAGACACCCAGCACGTTACAGAGACACCCAGCACGTTACAGACACACCCAGCATGTTACAGAGACACCCAGCATGTTACAGACACCCAGCATGTTACAGAGACACCCAGCACTGTGCAGAGACACCCAGCACGTTACAGAGACACCCAGCACGTTACAGAGACACCCAGCACGTTACAGAGACACCCAGCACATGACAGAGACACCCAGCACGTTACAGAGACACCCAGTACGTGACAGAGACACCCAGCACGTTACAGAGACACCCAGCACGTTACAGAGACACCCAGCACGTTACAGAGACACCCAGCACGTTATAGAGACACCCAGCACGTCACAGAGACACCCAGCACGTTACAGAGACACCCAGCACGTTACAGAGACACCCAGCACGTTACAGAGACACCCAGCACGTTACAGAGACACCCAGCACGTTACAGAGACACCCAGCATGTTACAGAGACACCCAGCATGTTACAGAGACACCCAGCACGTTACAGAGACACCCAGCATGTTACAGACACCCAGCACGTTACAGAGACACCCAGCACGTTAGAGAGACACCCAGCACGTTACAGAGACACCCAGCATGTTACAGAGACACCCAGCACGTTACAGAGACACCCAGCATGTTACAGACACCCAGCACGTTACAGAGACACCCAGCACGTTACAGAGACACCCAGCACGTTACAGAGACACCCAGCACGTTACAGAGACACCCAGCACGTTACAGAGACACCCAGCATGTTACAGAGACACCCAGCACGTTACAGAGACACCCAGCACGGTACAGACACCCAGCACGTTAGAGAGACACCCAGCACGTTACAGAGATACTGAGCACGTGACAGAGACACCCAGCACGTTAGACACCCAGCACGTTACAGACACACCCAGCACGTGACAGAGACACCCAGCATGTTAGACACCCAGCACGTTACAGAGACACCCAGCACGTGACAGAGACACCCAGCACGTTACAGAGACACCCAGCACGTTACAGAGACACCCAGCACGTTACAGAGACACCCAGCACGTTACAGACACACCAGCACGTTACAGACACCCAGCACGTTACAGACACCCAGCACGTTACAGAGACACCCAGCACGTTACAGAGACACCCAGCACGTTACAGAGACACCCAGCACGTTACAGAGACACCCAGCACGTTACAGAGACACCCAGCACGTTACAGAGACACCCAGCACGTTACAGAGACACCCAGCACGTTACAGAGACACCCAGCATGTTACAGAGACACCCAGCACGTTACAGAGACACCCAGCACGTTACAGAGACACCCAGCACGTTACAGAGACACCCAGCACGTTACAGAGACACCCAGCACGTTACAGAGACACCCAGCACGTTACAGAGACACCCAGCTCGTTACAGAGACACCCAGCATGTTACAGAGACACCCAGCACGTTACAGAGACACCCAGCATGTTACAGACACCCAGCACGTTACAGAGACACCCAGCACGTTAGAGAGACACCCAGCACGTTACAGAGACACCCAGCAACGGTTACAGAGACACCCAGCATGTTACAGACACCCAGCACGTTACAGAGACACCCAGCACGTTACAGAGACACCCAGCACGTTACAGAGACACCCAACACGTTACAGAGACACCCAGCATGTTACAGAGACACCCAGCACGTTACAGAGACACCCAGCATGTTACAGAGACACCCAGCACGTTACAGAGACACCCAGCACGGTACAGACACCCAGCACGTTAGAGAGACACCCAGCACGTTACAGAGATACTGAGCACGTGACAGAGACACCCAGCACGTTAGAGAGACACCCAGCACGTTACAGACACACCCAGCACGTGACAGAGACACCAAGCACGGTGCAGAGACACCCAGCACGTTAGAGACACCCAGCACGTTACAGACACACCCAGCACGTGACAGAGACACCCAGCATGTTAGACACCCAGCACGTTACAGAGACACCCAGCACGTTACAGAGACACCCAGCACGTTACAGACACACCCAGCACGTTACAGAGACACCCAGCACGTTACAGACACCCAGCACGTTACAGAGACACCCAGCACGTTACAGAGACACCCAGCACGTTACAGAGACACCCAGCACGTTACAGAGACACCCAGCACGTTACAGAGACACCCAGCACGTCACAGAGACACCCAGCACGTCACAGAGACACCCAGCACGTCACAGAGACACCCAGCACGTTACAGAGACACCCAGCACGTGACAGAGACACCCAGCATGGTGCAGAGATACCCAGCACGTCACAGAGACACCCAGCACGTTACAGAGACACCCAGCACGTTACAGAGACACCCAGCACATTACAGAGACACCCAGCACGTTACAGAGATACCCAGCACGTTACAGACACTCAGCAAGTTACAGAGACACCCAGCACGTCACAGAGACACCCAGCACGTTACAGAGACACCCAGCACATCACAGAGACACCCAGCACGTTACAGAGACACCCAGCACGTCACAGAGACACCCAGCACGTTACAGAGACACCCAGCACGTCACAGAGACACCCAGCACGTTACAGAGACACCCAGCACGTCACAGAGACACCCAGCACTGTGCAGAGACACCCAGCATGGTGCAGAGATACTGAGCCCCGTCATAGAAACGTCAACAGAACACCGGCACAGTAACGGTTGACCTCCGTGCTGCTGCTGCTGCCCGACACCGCTTGTGCGTCATGGACTGCTGCCGAACTTGGTCAAGATCATCAGGCGCCACGTTCTACTACAGCTCAGCGACCGGCACTTTCAGGGTACACCTCCCGCGGTCGAACGCAGCCACGAGAGAGAGAATCGTGAACAATGACCTCCTGCCCCCCCCCCGTGAAGGCTCGCTAAAAGCACCATCGACATTCTAAGAAGAACTCGGCTTCCACGACCAATATTGGGGGTGAGATGGTGTCGCGATAAATGTGCCATTAAACCTGTCACCACCCGACACAGACACTTAGTAAGGTTTGTCACGTAAACAGAACGTGCCAATTCGTTACTAGTACAGCACACCGTTTGTGTGTTGGAGAGTAAACCCACTGCAACATTTACAATTCAAGCAGCGTGACATTTCGCCGGCAATTACAACCAGCGTCATCAGGTGGATAGACAAGAGTTGTGGAGAAATCCTCCTCCTGTTTCGATCGATTTTAACGGTCAATATCTAACACTTCCTGTGTACAAGTGACCTCCAATGTCACGGAAACACCCAGCACAGTGCAGAGACACCCAGAGTGTTACAGAGACACCCAGCAGGTTATAAAGCCACCCAGCACGTTAGAGACACCCAGCATGGTACAGAGAGAAACCCAGCACGTTACACAGACACCCAGCACGGGTCGTTATGCGGATGCCACACAGCCCCTTGCTGCACCGGACAAAAGATTGGCAACACTCGGACAGCCGATCTATTTTTATTGGAGGCATACGCGCACCGCAGTCAAGTACAAGTTCGATAGGGAGAGCCCTCGGTAACCTCGAAGATCACGC